GTCTAAATGTGATCTTAGACCACAGAGCCATATAAAATGTAACTTCTTAGTTTCATATTTTATCAATCTGCTAGGAGGTAGGGTGAACAGATAGATGGTCCCACTGCCATCTGCCTGAACCCAGGCAAATACCTCCCATCCGGGTGATTTCAGAAATCTCCTGCCATCCTTCTGGCATTTGGTGGATCCCCAGTTCATATCTGCACACAGCCTCTCCATCGAACATCATTTTCATCACATAGTCCCTCTTGAAGCAAAATGCCTTTTATGGGCATATGACCTCAGCACCCTCCAATTTGGTCTTTGAAGCAACCTCCCTTCTCTGCCCTCAGGACCAGCCACATCTTTTCCATCCCTCAGCTTATTCCTTGAGCCAGCACTGCTGGGTGGAAAACTCTTGTCTCTTCTCTCTTCTTCCTTCAGACTCAGTCCTTCCTTTAAGGGAATGTCCTCTGATGTCATGTCCTCCTCCAGGGGATCTTCCTGACCCAGGGATCAAACTTGTGTCTCCTGCATTAGCAGCTGGAGTCTTTACCACTTTACCAGTCTTTGAGACCTGGGAAGCCCTGAGTTCCCACATGTTTGTCTAAACCATCATCAAGTCCCTTTCATCTTCCAGTAACAATATTTCTGAGGGTCCCCCTTTTCTATATAGTGACGACAGGCCCTCACCTGAAGTTCCTGTCTCTCTAGTGCCACCCACCCCCCACTCCAGGTCATCCCCTATCTGGACTGTTACTTGAATCATCCTAACATTGCTTTAGTCCTGTCCCTCCCTGCTTAAGAATCACGAGAACTCGTCATTAGCTGCCAAGTCAAGTCTAGACTCCTTCGCCTCACTTTCAGGCTCTACAGAATCTGACCCTCCTTGGGTGACATGACAGCTGTCTTAATATTTTTGAGGGGCTGTCAGAGAGAAAAAGGATTAATCTGATTCTGTGCTGCTCCAGCAGCAGAGGGAGATCACAGGCAGAAATTACAGGGAGACCTAAGTGCCTCAATAGAAAGAATTGTTCTTTCTTTTCAGTGTGTGAGTGTGGACGGCAGGGGTGGTCGTGGTGGAAAGCTTGCACTTATGAAGCCCTGACAATGCAGGAATACTGTGTGTGACACTCATAGAATTGTTCTCTGCTCACCAATGTAAGGTAGCAGGAGGTAATAGGTACTGCACATCCAAGCTGAACAGCAATTATGTGAGATTTCTGATAGTTTTAGACAGAATATTGTTTGTCTCCTAAATCCATGACTGAAGACAACAGAAGGGATATTTTAGATTATCAGGAAAATATGTGTTTGTTTTGAATGTCTTGTGTTCAAGTTGTAGGTTTGGATTGGAGAGACAGGCAGAGGCCACATTATGTAAAGCCCCATTGGCCATGGTGAGGAATTTGGCCTCAAAAGCAGGAGAGTGACATGATTCTAAAATGGAAGAAGCAGAAGACCAAAGAATGAACTTTCTAACCAATGAACTTCGCAGCAAGTGAACATGCTGGGCCTCGGGTAGAAGTGAGCGCCCAAACCCTGGAGTGGGTCTGCCAGGGATGCTGTAGAGTGGGACAGGGCTCCAGGAGGGATGACTTCTAAGAACCCCATTACCTCTGACCTTCTCGCTGTTCAGCCTCACCCCTTCCAACCACCACCCTACACCTGGTCTCCCTTTAGGATCTCTTCAGCTTCTGCTGGGAGGCCACACCAAACTGTCTCCCCACCCTGCACCTTCTCTCCACAGCTGCCCTGCTCTCCTTTTTGTTGTTCAGTTTTGACCTCCCACAACAATGCTCTTGAGAATAAATTACTATAAAGGTGCACCAAGAGACTGACCAAATAAGCTATTGTACGTTTGAACAATAGAATATTATGTGGCCATTTACATTGAGGCAATGGAAGAAAATTTAATAAGATGGAAGGATGGGCACCATATACGGTTATGTGAAATAAGCTGTTGACAATGTGGTCTGATTTTTGAAAATTAACAAAAAATACACATAGAAAAAATACTAGACGATGTGCACATCAAAATGTTGTCATATTCTCTGGGTAATAGGATTGGAGGTATTTTCTTTCTATGTTTTCTAAAGTTTATAAAATTAGCACTTTTTTTGGCTTTTACAAGTTTTTTTTTTTTTTCATTTTACTGTTCATCAGAGCCATTTCTTCATTAACTCTGACTTAATCTTTTCTGTCTCTTGATCTCATTGTTGGTTTCATGTAGTCTAGTACATGACTATACACTGCTTTGTGTTAATATAAGATTGTTTCATTCACACTGGTTTTGCTTGTCAGATTAAGAAATTTTTCTCTGGCCAAATTGTGACTTATTTTCTCATTTTCCCCATCAGTTAGCACTGTGCAGGAATTGAGCCTTTGATGGTGGCTTGGTGCTGGGTCCTCACAGTGCCAAATAACCTACCTGACTTTCCAGGCAGACTCTGGGTGGGGGCTAACCTCAAAATCCACAGTTTCCATGGGTGTGGTGAGCACTGTGAAAGTGAGGCTTGGTTTCGGACCCAGGTACCCAGTCACTGGCATCTAGACTCTCACCCCATCACCCTGTTCTGCCTCTGTCTCCTCTAGTGATCGGATCCAGAGACCTAGGAACCTAAGGCCAGGTCCAAACTCCAAACCAACTGTCCTGCAGTAGCTGGAACACCATTGAAGACTGAAAGGTCACTTTGCAATCTTTTCTCATTATTTGTGAACAGCTTTAGAATTGAGGAGGTCTTTAGTGACTTACATTCTTTCTGAAATTATCCCATGTCCTTTTCTTGAAGAGCAGATATTATTGCCCCGTGTCCGCTGTGGTCTGGGTACCATCCCAGGCAGTAGCTCTAGAAAGCTGACAACAGGACCCCGGTTTGGGAGGCATCCCTTTGTTCTTGGGCTTAGTTAGTGCTGGGAGGCAGCTAGCTGTTCTCTTGCACTTGAAAAGCAAACCCTCTGAAATGACCTCTGCAATGACTTCATCGTGCTCTTTTTACTACACAGGCCATTCAGACTTTAGCGATCACTGTGTGGCACTGTTAACATCTCTCTCCCATCACTAAATCAGAGGGTTGGCAGAGCTTACTTAAGGCTCAGAACAGGAGACCCTGCTGTTTCCTTGACAGTCTGTTTCAAGTGCATTCAGACAGGATACTTGAAGGGTTGTCAGGTGGAAGGAGAACAAGATTTACTCTGTAACCAAATCCCGCTGATCTGCAGCCCTAACCCTGCTCGTCTGCCACTTTCCTCCCTCTCCCTCACCACAGGCCTGCACAGACTTCTGTGCAGCCTTGCCGGGATGACTTTGGCAGCCTTCTCCCAAGTCTGCCTGCCTGTCCAGTCTTGCTGCTCTAATCCTTCCTTAGAGAGCCTAAGTGATCTGTATCAGTTGCAGATCTCATCACACCATACCTCTGCTTAAAACCCTGTAATTCTTCTGCACTGCCTGCAGGATAAACCCTAAACTCCTTAGTGTTGCTTCTAAGACCCAGCCCCTGCTTGGCTCTCCAGCTGCATGCCTTGCCCAGGCTGTCAGCCACCATGGAACCCCTTGCAAACTGAACCCCAGATGCTCCAAGTCTTCGCTGAGAACATTTCCCCTCCTCTCTTCACAGCTGGGGCCTCCCTGGTCGTTCAGTGGTAAAGCATCTGCCTGCCAAGCAGGAGATGCAGGTTCGATCCCTGGGTGGGGAAGATCCCCTGGAGAAAATGGCAACCCACTCCAGTATTCTTGCTTGGAAATCCAAAGGACAGAGGAGCCTGATGGGCTACAGTCCACGGGTTTGCAAGAAAGTTGGACACGACTTAGCGACTAAACAATAAAACTTCCCAGCTCATTTGCCTTCCAGGTATTCCTTCAGATGTCACTTCCTCCTACCCTGTCACTCAAGACCAGGTTGGGTAGTCTGTCCTCTCAACAAGTGTCTAGTTTTACTTATCATGTTTCTTGTCATCTTATCTTGTAATTGCCTGTTTACATGTATCTTCCTTTCCAGACAAGCTCCTTGAGGGCTGGGATAATTTTTCAATTTTTTAAATCTTTTTTTGGGGGTAGGGTGGGGATGGTTTTATTTATCATCATGTCCCCAACACAAGATACTCAATAGTTAATGAATGAATGACAGATGACATAGCAAAGATGACAGATGGAAGTTTTAGGGGGTTAAATTTCCACTCTGTGTACTGAACAACTTGCTAACAACTGGCTCAGGTACAAAAAAAAAACAAGGAACAAACTGGCCCACCAAACCCACCAGTGAAAACCCTGTCCCTGTAAGTCTCCCAGAGCCTAAGTGGTCCTGGGCAGGGAGCTCCCTCAGATGGCAGGTGTAGGACATACCCTCCACTCTTCCCCTATCTGTAGGAGGGCACAATCAGATTCACTTCTGGGGATAAATGATCTGAGTTGGGGTCCCAGTTCTGCACTTACTGTGAGACCTTGAGCAAGTCACACCCTCTCTGAGCTTTCCTTACCCGTAAAACAGAGATGATACCTGCACTGCCTACTTCAGATTTTGGGAGAACCAAATGAGATCACCTATGTTAGAGTACTTTGTAAAAGCCTTAACATCAAATGAAAAGTATTATTATTTACCATGTAATCTTCGGGACTTGAAGCCTCACCGACTAATTTTAGCTTTGCAACTACATTAGAAAACCAAGTGTCAAGTGGAAAGGTTTACTGCTGCAGGGGGAGCTGAGAATCAGAGCAGAGAGATCTACCTGCCCGAGCCATGCCACTGCCCTAGGGAAAAGGCAACAGTGAGGATCAAGAGCACCTTTTTAGTTAGGATCTGTCAAAGACCCATTGTTCCTGCCATCAGAGAGATTCCTTGGAGCCTATTACTAACCAAGGGGGAGTATGACCCCAGAGTCTTAAATCACCACGAAAACAGCAGCAGATACAAAAACTATACACGCAATAAACCTTCCCTATAGGCCCCTTGATTTACACTTCAAATCAAGAACGGTTGACAGCATTTCACTTCCCCTTTGGCAATACAAACCCGATGAAACTATTTAATTTAAAGGCTTTTTATTAGGAACCAGGGGAATGAGCTGCTTATCCCTCTGTAACAGTCTAGAGCAGGTCATCAGGCCCAGGAAGGAGAGTGTCAGAGATGCTGTGGTGGGACTCGCTGCACTTGCTTAGGGCCCGGAAGGAAAGGCGGTGGCGACAGAGGGCGGCAGGAACTGGTGTCAGCCAGACACCCAGAGCCTGGGGAGAGCAAGCCCTGTGCCTTCCTTCCTCCACTCGAGGCTGGGACATGTCTCAAGACGGAAAACACGGCCGGCGTGGGCAGGGCATCAGTGCTGGCTGAACCCTGGTTCCATTTGGTGCTACTTCACTTGCCTGCCCTCCACTCCTCTTGCCTTTTAGTGATCAGGTATTTGAAGAACTCATACACAGACCAAGCGATGGCTGTGGAGGGGATCTGGTAAATGACTCTAGCCTGCACCCCTCGGAAGTAGGCGGTCACCCCGCCTACTTGATACACCGTCCTGAAGGCACTAGCCATGCCTGTGATATGTCCTGTAAGGTTTGAGTTCAAAGCCAGGGATTCCTGGGTGTTGAGCAGTGTTTTGCAAACGTCCAGTGGGGTTGTGGCAGCGGCAGCTACAGCTCCTGCACAGGCTCCGGAGAGGACGTGGGAGCTGGGGTTGTACCGTCTCTGGGGGTTAAAGTGCTCCTGCAGGAATTCGTAGGTCATGAAGTGAATGGCTTGGAAGGGAACGTTCATGGTGAGCTGGGTGGTGTAGCTGCGGTAGAAGGCCCCGGCCCCTTCGTTTTGCCACACTGCCCGTACACAGTCTGTCACCCGGTGGTACGGTGAGTTGTACATCTGCATCCTCTGCTTGACCACTGGCGGTGCCATTAGTGAGAAGGCAATATCGACAGCATTCAGCCGGTGAGCAGGAATGTCCAGGAGCAGAGTCCCAAGTCAGTGGATCAGCCAATGGATTGGAGAGAGAAAAAAGTATGAGTGAGTTGTCAGTTGGCCTGCTAAGTGGAAGCTTCCCCTTTTTGAGAGGAGGGGATAGGAGAGGGTTGATAAAGGGCTAAAAAATAATGGAACCACTTCCAGTAGGATTTAAGACCAACCAATTAATATATATCTACCGTTGAGAGACTCCATAGGGTTTCCTTGGAATAAGTACCTATTATTACTACCATCTTAGTCTTTCATGAAGTGCCAGGACAAGAAAAGATTCAGTGGCAGTGAACATAATGACAAACATGCAGCCCAACAATCCCAATCCTCAGGTACACAGAATGCGGACCTCTTACAATATGAGGACACCATCCTTCCACAGGAGGAAGAGCTGGAGAAGGGCTACCAAAAACAGAAGTCTTAGCCAAGAAGAGTGTGCCTTTAGTTTCCAAACACCTCCCACCCCCTCAAGCAGACTCATGGAGTGAGTTCGAGATCTTCAGCTTAGCTTTGACCCCTTCCTTGCCGTGGTCTTGCCCAGACAGGTAAAGAACTGGAACTTTAAGGAACATGGAAACTGTGCTGTCCTTACATATTTGTTTGGGGACCTCATTCTCCAACTGAAAAGCCAAGATCCAAGCAGCATGCAGGGACTAAGCTCTGCTAATGTCACTCTTTCATTTCTATCTCAATCATTATTTATTCCAACAAGAAAGGCAGTAGTTTCAAACGTCAAAATCCATTTTCATCTCTTTGAAGAGAAGTGAAATAATCTGCTAAATTTTTTAGATCAAATCCACTACAAAGTGGACTTTCAGGAAGACCCAGGAACAGGCCACAGACAGTCTCATATGTTTTTCTAGGGAACCCCCAGATGAATTAAATCTCAATGAATATGCTTCCCGCCTAAGGGAATCTTCCTAAGCACTGAGAGCGTGGAGGGGGCGCCCTCTACTGGTAAGACAATGTAATACAGCAGGCTTTCCCACCAAAACTGATGCTGTGCTCCCTGGCTTTCTTCTGCAAACCCCAAACAAAGGAAAAGCCTGGAGATGTAGATGAAGCTGCTCACAGAGGGAAAGGGTGAGGAATCATTACCTTCCACTGGATTCATGGCAGCATCATGAAGTAATGTTGCCACACACCCAGCCGCACCTGCAAAGGAAAAAACAACTGCCACATGTAAGGCCAGGAGGGGGTGAATGACTCAGGGAGACCCCAGAGTGAAGGGGAGTGGCTGTGATAACCACACCAGGGAGAGGGGATACTAGCAGCCAGTTTAAAAGACGGGAACCCACTGCTTCTAAATGCCTCTTGAGAGAAATGAGGCTATTTGTTCCCTTTAACTTACTATGGCCATCAGTCTACCATACAAAGGCCAGGAAGAGTCTGAGAGAACAGCCCGGATTTCATCAACAAAGATGGCTCTGAGGACTGATGCAGCTCATGCCCCAGATAGGAAGCTGATCCACTGTGGCCAGGGGATGCCAGCACATCAGCACACGAGGGGCAGGCGACTAGGTCTCCACCACAGAACCCCATCTACCTGTCCTGCTGCCCCATGCTGCCCAGCCTGTCTCCAGATCCTAACAGCTATCCATCTAGACTTTTCTCTCAGGGTCCGAACTACCCTAACCCTCACCCTCTCCTCTCCCCTTTCACTTTGGTTTTCTCCAGGCTGCTATCCCTTCCCTCACTCCCATATAACCTTCATCCTTTGGTTTCTTTGGACAAAAGACCCAGGCCCCACCCCCATTCACTTGTTAAGCTCTTGTCTTGTCCTCTGTTACACAAACTGCCTCTGGGCAATTGGGATCCTGAAAATGTGAGGCAAAGAATTGAGGCTCCATTAATGTCTTGCGTGGGTAACTGGGTCACTTCCAATCCTACCCTGAGGAGCAGGATTAACACCTGACTACCAAGAAATACACCGAGTGGGCAGCTCAGAGTGTGTGTCTACATTGTCAGGGCATTAGAAGTTGATGCCAGGGAGAAGACCAAAGAGTCAAGCAAGTACATAAGGAAGGATACTGTAACCATTTGTTGAGGTGCCCGGAAGAAGGCGCGGGGTGGAAGCAGCTCACTGTCTTAGAACATCAGGTTTGGAAGTCCCTTCTCTATAATCTGGCCTACCCCAGCCCAAAGCTGCAGCTTCAGACCATGCTGAGACTCGAGAGCACTGACAGCTGCAAAGCCCAAAGAGTTGAGAAAGTGGGAGAACCAGCACAGGAAGGCTCAATACCATTGGCAATATGGCTATTGCCCCCAGGGTGGATTACATCACTCAATGTCTTTTTTAACTTTTCATAGCAGGCAAAATAGAGGGCGTGCGCAGGCCCTGCGCCTGTTGCTGTGACGTTCAGGCCTCGCATGGGCCTCCACAGGCCCTCCGTTCTTATAATCCTCCAGAGGGCCTCCAACACATTGCGATAGCGGGCGGCTGGATCTGGCTGTAGGCTCTGCATCCGGGTCTGAAAGTACAGAATGGAGAAGTGCAGTGTCAGGGATCTGAGGGCTCACCCAGTCTCAGCACTCAGGCCTGAGCTCCGGGCAGACTTCTATGTGAAATTGCGTCAATATGTAGAAGTGATACCTGGCATCCAGTTTTACTGCCTTCCAAATCCATATCCAATCTTTCCAAGCCTTGGATTTTTTTTTTTTTTCTTTTTCTGGTCATCTATGACTCTACAGGCTTCCTTGGTGGCTCAGCAGTAAAGAACCCATCTGCCAATGCAGGAGAGGTGGGTTCAATCCTTAGGTTGGAAAGATCCCCTGGAGAAGGAAATGGCAACCCACTCCAGTATTCTTGCCTGGGAAATCCCATGGACAGAAGGAACCTTCCAGGCAACAGTCCACAGGGTCTCAAAAGAGTTGAACACAACTTAATGACTAAACAATAACACATGACTCTATGAGTAGAACACCATTATTTTCCCTCAAAAAATTACTCTTTGGCAAGTGTTCTTGAACTTCAAAGTGATTCAGAGCCTCAGCAACAAATATTAAGCCTGTGTTTCAGGAAAAGTTGCTTTTGTATCTTAATAAACTCAGGCTGAGAGCTCTTTACAAGTGGATTCTAAAGTTAGCTATTTACTGTCTACAATATACTTTATTGCTACTGAAGACTGATCCTGGGCCTGCTTCCTGATCACATACTAATGAGATGAGGACTCAACCTCTGACATAAGCTTGATGATAATCTGACTTCTTCAGAATATTTGGCATTGGCAGCTGGGCCTGCACATTACAGTTTTGGCAGAAATAACATTCCTAATAGATGTTGCTCTAGTTTCCTGGGAAAGAAAGTTTACCCTCAAACTATGAAGGTGGAAACCAATCTAGTTTCTAAAACTGAGGGAGATTCCAGATTTCTAATCTAAACTGGCTAAATCCCAAAACTGGCATCAATGAATAAAAATTAGTCTCAGTGAAACATAACCCTTGGAATCTCCAGAGGATTCAATGACTGGAATGAATGTATATGGTAGATATTCTGACAATCTTGGACAAAGTTTTATTGAAACTTGGGAAATTAATCTTATAGTTCACAAATCACCAACTTTCTCTAAAAGATGAGTCTACAGGGCAGATCTCTTGTCTACTGACCCATTTCAAGGCTAAGGTGGCTTGGAGACTATCAGTATAAATTAATGTCCAGTGCCTGCAATACAGTAGGCACTTGAGATTTGTTTGTAATGGAAGAATGAAGAACCTTAGTTTTGTTTACACCAGTTCAAAAAGACCTTTAGTGAACCAATAGGGGCAACTAATGCCCAAGTACAGTTTAAATTCCTACTTCATTCCTGTCACTGATTCAATCTGGATTGAACAGCTGGAACCTTCCTATTGTCCATCTAATCCAAGAGTAATGTCTCTTCTCAAAAGCAAGGGAGAAAACAATCTAACCAGATTAACAAATCCTAGTTAGCTGCAAGCAATCCACAATCTTCTAGAGTTATTTTCTCCTTCCAGCTACCAACAAAGAACTGGATAAAAGATTAATTATTTGAAGTTCAGTCAGAAATACACAGGATCTTATCACAATGTGATACATTCTTTTTTACTTCTCAATAAAAAAACACAAAACAAAATAACCAAAAAACATCAATTTCCAATAAAGAATGTGTTTACTGATCTTTCACATCACCTGGGAGGATAAAATTCATCAGAGGAGTTATTCAAGACTACAGGCCTTTGCTGGGTAGGGACACTAATAGATAAACTGGTAGCTTAACAACTGTGTGTTTCCACAGGTTTGTTAAACAACTAATCTTGTATTGAGGGAATGTTTAGAAATCACAGTGTTCTACTGGAGTCAGTGTCATATTTGGGTAACCGGACTTGAAGGTCTGGCCTCAGAGGCCTGGAACCGTTTACCCACAAGAGAAACCTGGATGGTGGTAAGTTACACTGAACATTTTACACACATGTCTAAATCTAATTCACAATTCTAACTCAATGAAGATACACCCTCATGGAGAGGACCCAGGCCTAAGCCACACCAAATATAAAAATAAATATGGCTTCCCAAATTTGTGAGTCAATAAATCTTTCAGAGAAAGATGAAATCTCTAAGTAAGAATTAACAAATAGTCTTCAACATAAAAAAACACTGCCTGGCTTTGAAGAAAAGTCAGACTAATAGGGAAGGAAGCAGTGTGGTAAAACAAGCCACATTTTGGCATGAAAGCCTGAGTAGGAGCCCCAGCTTTGCTGGCTGTGTAGCCTCGGGTATGTCACTTAACCTCTGAGCTTCAGGCCGTCATCTGTAACATGAGACCAAGGATGGCTAGGGCACAGGGCTACTGGGGGGATTCAGAGTTAAAGCATGTAAAAGCCATTGCTAATTTATGAGGTGTCAGAAATACAAGGCTTTTTATTGTGTTCAAATATGATTCTCAGAAATATTAGTTCATATCTTAGAGTTTACAGATCATGGCAGCATTGTCTCATGTTACCACTTTTTGAAGATATGGACGGGCAGCTAACTGCTCTTTAACCACTATATAGATTTTAACCATATAGATCAGGCTTGATTTTTTATTTTTTGTTTTCAATCTAAAGTTCCTCTGTGGCTGAAATGATCGATTTGTCCAGCTGTTCATCTGCAGGAAGCAGCACTATTGTGAAATTCTGTGCCTTGCTTGGTTCTGGAAATCTGCTTCTGGGAGGCTGTATGGAAGGCTGGGGAGTCAGACTCGGCTTAAATCATGGCTCTGCCACTAACTGTGTGACCGTGGGCAAGTTACTTAACTTGCCTCCTTTTCTTCATCTATAAAATAATGAAAATGGTGTTTACTTCATGAAGCTGTTCCAAGGATTAAATCAATAACTGCAAGGCACATCAGACAGGGCATGACAAACATGAGCAATTGACATTTACTGAATACTTATTATTAGACACAAGAAAATCAAAGAAGCCAATGTTTTCATCTCCTAATCTTCCATTAGTTTGAAAAAGATCTATTTCCCTTTGTTTTTTTCTCCTTAACTTATAGATTTATTTGCTTCACCACTGCAAAGCCAAAAAGCAGCACCTTGGTGACAGGTGCTTAACAAGATATTGGGAGGAGTTCTGACTGCTTTAGGCTGCAGAACCTATCCTTTTAGATAAAGTCTGGTGCTTGCCTCTGAAGCACAGAAGAGGAAAACTGGAATTCACTTGCACTCCCAAATCTCCCTATTATGACCATGGAAATAGCTGGTTGAATAACTGTAGCCTAGCCAGGCTATGCTGACTTCCCATGGTCCCTCCCAAGGATATTTAAGTCGACCTGACCCTGATAAGTGGCCTGGGGATGCACAGTCCTGCATGCCAGAGGCACTGTCAGCTTTCACTGGCAAACACTGTGGTTGCCCTTTAGGCTGTAACACAGATACCTGCCTCTAGTCTTAGGGTACTTTGGGCTGCTCTTCCTCTCTGCCACCTATTTATGGTAAAAGAGGAAGAAGGGCTGCCTAGGGACAAGTAAACTGGGAAGCCCCTTCTGAAGGAAGAGATTTTAATTTTACTTTCAAGTCTGCACAACAGTATCTACTGCTGTAATCAGTATTAACTGACCCTGAGTCCTAATGGTCTCACCTAGTTTTTCCCTATAGTCATTTAAATCCCAGCATCTATGGCAAATGAAGATGATTCTTCTAACATATGCTTTTGTATTTTTGAAAACTCCTGAGCATTTTTTTTTTCCTCCAGATGAAATAATTATTTAATAGAGAGCTTTGAGGCATGACTGTAATGTTGTATTACTAATTAAAGAAAAAATCCAACATTATATAAATGAATAAGAACTGTTCTTCAAAACAGTTACCTTGGAAGGCTACAAGTGACTTATTTCAGCAATGCTGCTGCATTTATGCAAAACATTTCTGGAACTTCTCCTTCTAAAGTGTTCCCTCAGTGGGTTTATCAGCTCAGGAGGAAATCAGTCTCCTTGCTTTCCCGTCCTACCTTATCTTTGACCCCCATCAGCATTACCCATTTTGATCTCCCACCTGAACTACCACATTTGATTCTGAATGGCTTCAATGACTAAAACATCAACTCCATCTTGTCAGAGGACAAAGACTTGCCCCATTTAAGGATATGCAGCCAAGTATTCTAGAGCAGCAGTCCCCAACCTTTTTGGCACCAGGGACCAGTTTCGTGGAAGGCAGTTTTTTTCACAGACGGCAGAAAGGAAGGGTGTTTTGGGATGATATGAGCACATTCCATTTATTGTGCACTTTACTTCTAATCTAATGCCGCTGCTGATCTGACAGGATCAGCACCAGTCCATGGCCTGGAAGTTAGGGACCCCTCTTCTAGAAGAATTTCTAACAGAGGAAGTTACAGATTGTTTACAACAAAACCAGTATTTATGTAAATATATGGAGTAAGGAGATAGTTGCCCAATGTAGTGGGGCAACACTTAAATTGAATAGCAGTGGTAATATTTCTAAGTCAGTCACATTATTATATTGTATTTTTCAAGCCATTACTCTCCTTGATCCAGTTTTCATTTGATACCCATCCTGAAAGATAGCACCCTGGACTATCTACTCTTTAAACTCTACTCACAGTTCAAATAAGTGAGGTTACTCTGCAGTTAGATGTTAACTTTTGGATACATAGCATTAACAACTCATAGTCATTCAATCTAGACTCTATATAAATATCTCAATCTTTTTTACTTGTACTTATCTGTTTGACATTTCAATATTGTTAGAGCACTAGCCATCCTCTTACTCCTCTTTCATGGATTTTACTATTTTTTCTATTCCTCACAATTGACATGGGTATTTAAAATTCTAATATCCATTTTAGTCAAGTGCATTTACCAGTTTCAATGTATGGCCTTTGGTAGGAGTTACCTTGCAGTGTGCTAGAATACTCCTACCAGCTCAGTGTCATTTACAAAGCTTAACAAGCATATTCTCCACTTCCTCATCCACCTTACGAGTGAAAACATGAAACGGTACTGGAACCAGGGAGAAGCAGAAGAGACAGATTTTGCATCTCCCAAGTTAATACTCTCCTCCTGAACATGTAACTTTTCCCTAGTTTAAGAAGACATACATCCAAGAGCTGTGAGACTATTTTTCGACTCTTACCCTTAACATGTAAAGGAAGAACTAGTCTCTGTCAGTATATTTATTTCAATAGTCCCCTTGAGTTTACTTCTCACTCAACTTATTTGGTGGTGGCTCCTTTGCTAATGCACAAAAATAAGAACTGTAAAGAACAATGCATTCCCCCTCGTTACCCAGCTTTCTTCAGAAACACCGAGTCACCACCTAGTCTTGTACCCACTCAACAGCCTGCCTGGTGTGGATGAAATTATTTTTACTTTCCCAGGAATCATGCCCTCATGTTGGTCCCATTTCATTTTCTTCACACTAACATCTACTTTCTTCACACTAACTTCTATTTTCCAATACATCTATTTCCAATGCCTCCCTTATAGGCAACTTTTCCCTTTTTGTCAACTTCAAGTGGCTAAAGATATACACTATGAGGTCCATCCCTCCTTGGAGGGGTGACGTGCTCCCTGCACATACACAACCCCAATCCCAGCTAAATTTTCATGTTCAGGAAATAGGTGGGGTATCAGGCCTGCTGCACAGAGAAACCGAAACTTTTCCCTGAACATGGTCTTTCCCGTATTATTTCCAGTCAGGAACTCTGAATTCTGACTGCACAATGATTTCCACTCACTCATCGATTAAGATTTAATAAGTAAGTCTTTCATCTAACTGAGAGATCCCAGACTCTGGTTCCTGCCCTGTCACTTGTAAACACACAAGATGTGTTTGTAAAAGCAATCGGAACATCTCTAACTTTTAAGGTCCTATTCAGGGTCTTCAATAAGCGTTACCTTAATGAAGTTAGTAGCACTTACCTGTTCCTTTCCCATCCCACCCTATTCCTGTTTAGTCCCAGCTGGGATCCAGGGTTTTGGCTGACAGATTTTCTTCCCAGAGTCCCGATTCAGATCTCACTGACGGTTAGAAATGGGTCCCGGTTCCTGACTGGGATCAATTCCCGGCTGGGACCTTGCTTGCATGGAGTATCGGTCGAATCGTGTGGTGATGGTAGGAGCCAGAAAAGAAGCCCTGTCGGCTCTGCCTCTCGGCTGGGATCCTGGCTCCAGGCATGACCCAGGGGGTCGGGTCAGCCCCAGGTCGGGTTCGGAGCAGGTCCAGGTCTCACCTTGACGCAGTCGACGGGGTACATCACGCAGTGCTCCAGGATCCCTGCCACGGCGCCCGCCACCATGTGCGTGGTGACAGTGGCTCCAGCCGGCAGCGCCTCGTAGTCCGGGCCGGAGTCCGGATCCTGTCGAACCGGGGGCCTGCAGGCCCCGGCCTCCCCGCCGCTGGCCCCCCGGCCCACGCCCCGCTGCAGCCACCCGTCCAGCAACCCTCCAACTCCATCCACCCGGGCCAGCTGCGGCGCCCACCCTCGCCACCGCCGCCACTGCCGCCGCCCCCCAGCCCCGTCGCGTCTGCCTCAGGCGCGGCCCAGAGAGCCCGGGGCCTCCGGCTCCCGCTTGGCCCCGAGGACACGCCCCTCAGTCAGCCATTGGTGCAGCCGCCAAGTTAGCTCCGCCCTTTGGCTTACGTTAAAAAATATGTCTGTGGTATTAGTGAAATTGCCTGTCATTCCTTCGCCCCGCGGCGTTGCTACCGCTTAGATCCCACCCCTTCCCCTTTGATCTTGGAAGCTTCTTGTTTATTGGCCATTTGATTGGCCAACAGGTAAGATCAACCCGCCCTCCGACTTTTCTGGAGGGCGGGAGAAACTTAAGGCTGAACTTTGATAGGCTCAACCACCCTTGATGCTTTGACCCCGGCCATTGGCTAGCATTACGTTGGGATCCGATTGGCTACAGGAAGAGGGCGAAGCGCCCAGGGCTATCGAGGCGGAATTTGGGCCCCAGACTGGCGCCCGGGGAGCTATGTGCGCTGCAGGCTGCATCGCTTTTGGGGGTGGGGAGGGAGAGAGGGTGGGGGAGGGAAAGGGCGGTATTCGGCCTTCAAGGTCAAACCGCTGACTGGTGCCGTTAAGATCCGCGCTCAAGCGCCAGCCCCGACTCCCTAGACTCGCAGGTCGCGTGCGGGCTGGGGGCCCCGACGCCAGAGCTCTATTCCCGCGGGATGTCGGGCTGGCGTGGGGCGGAGCCGGCCTGGGCTTGGCATCCCCTGGCGTGGCCCACCGGCCTGTCAGGAAAGCTGTTGCGACATGCAGGCGGCGGCCGGTTAAACGCTTCCCAGGTCTGGAGTGTTGTTCCTTGTGGGCCATGGGCGAGCACACTCCTGAGGGCTCGGTGCTCCTCAGGCCCTGGAGTCACCCAATAAACCCCGCAGTTCTTGAGAATGAGTTAGGAGACCTGCTAACGTTAGACCCTGAGCCTGGCCGAGAACTGAGGCCGGGAAGAGAGGTGTCGACGTGGGGCGGGATGATTCAGAAACGACAGGTGGGGCGGCTGGGCAGGAGGCCGCTGCTGCCCAAACACAGCAGGAAAGTGCGTGAAATAGGGGAAGCGTGTCCCTAAGCTGACTACTGATGAGCCCACCTTCCCGGTGAGGATTCCTTTTGTTGTAAGACGGCTCTCTCTCGCAGACAGGTGGGCTGGAGTCTCAGAGGGGCGCTTATGGCTAAAGAACAATGTTAGCAGTCCCCAGACTTGAGCATCACCTAGGCCTTGAGGTTACACAGGTGGTGCTTTGCTGTGGCTTCAGGCTGGGTTGATGAGCGCAGGCTTTCCGCGCTCCATCTGCCCGGCTTCAGTAACCCTTCACTGGATCGTGTTTGCACAAGTTTCTCCAGTGTTTCCAGATAGGTCTCTACTCCCACTTTTACTGAAATGATGATGTAATTGTGAACTTTAAAAAAAATCTTCCTAGCTTTTGCTTAGATAAGCGGTTTTCCTTTTTCTCTTTAAAGCTTAGCCATTTTCTGGGCCTCCGAGTTTTTTAATTTTTTATTTAACAAAACTCGCTTATTTTCTTCCTATTCAGCAATAACTGTTTACCCTTTGGGTCTCGACCTTTTGAAAACTAATGAAACTACAAATCCTCTTCCCTGCACCTCTGATCCTCTGCACACAGAAAATTTTGCCTATAATTTCTGAGTTTGCAGAGTCCCTAAAAGTGACTTGTGGACCCCCTAGGGGTCCATTAACTTCAAGTTAAGAAGCCTGGGTTTCATAAAAAAGAAACCCACTCAATCCTGCTAGAGTACTAATTCCCTTAACTGCCAAACTGCTCCACTAATGAGCTATACCTAACAAGTCCTTTCTCTTCTTAAGCCCTACATTTTTGCTCTTTTAATCTGTGGTCACAAATGACCTTTCCAAATCCAATGGTCTTTTTCTTATTCCCATTTTTCTTTACTAAGAGGTAACACTTGCCCATCATTGACCCATCAACTCACTGAAACGTTGTCCTTGCTTCAGGAGACACTGCTATACCCCTTAGACTTCTGAATCTCCTACACTTCTCTACCCACAAGGGGGGAACATTCCTAAAGGTCTAATACTTCCTATTCATCTAATAGTTTAGAGAACTTCACTATCCCAAATCTGTTTTCCTCATTGGAGCCCTATCTATATTTCCCTTTTTGCATATCTTGTAAGTGAAATTTCCATGTGAACATTCAGTAAATTTATTGGATACTAACTCTGCCTGGCACTGTATTTGAAACTGGTGATACGAGATAGAGTCCATGCCTTCATGGAGCTTACTTTTTAATGGAGAGGGAGGAATAAGCCATTAAAAATATTGGTTAGCCCTAGATACTATGCTGATAACTAAAGGAGGGAGGTGTGATAATGTGTGATTGGGTGGTTACATTTGTATGACTAGGAAAGGCCTTTCTGAGGAGGTAACACTATGGTATTCCCTGATGGCTCAGTGGTAAAGAATCTGCCTGCAATGCAGGAGACCCAGGTTCTATCCTTGGGTCAGGAAGATTCCCTGGAGAAGGGAATGGCAACCCACTCCAGTATTCTTGCCTGGAGAATCCCATGGACAGAAGAGCCTGGCAGGCTACAGTCCATAGGGTCGCAAAGAGTCGGACATGACTGAGTGACTAACACTATGGTAAGTTCTGAATGAGAAGCAGGAGCTCATGATGGGCTCAGAGAAGGGCATTCCAGAAGAAACTGTAAGTACAATCCTAAGGTGAGAACGAGGTTGGTATTCAAAGGAACAGAAAGGTCAATGTGGCTGGAGCATGGTTGGGGATGGGAGGGAGTGATAGAAGATGAGGTTGGAAAGATAGGTGGAGGGCGAATATCCACTTTAATTTCTGATTTAGCATATCCAAAGAATTGATACTTTTGAACTGTGGTGTTGGAGAAGACTCTTGAGAGTCCCTTGGACTGCAAGGAGATCCAACCAGTCCATCCTAAAGGAAATCAGTCCTGAATATTCATTGGAAGGACTGATGCTAAAGCTGAACCTCCAATACTTTGGCCACCTGATGTGAAGAGCTGACTCATTGGAAAAGACCCTGATGCTGGGAAAGATTAAAGGCGGGAGGAGGAGGGGACGACAGAGAATGAAATGGTTGGATGGCATCACTGACTCGATGGACATGAGTTTGAGTAGGCCCCGGGGTTTAGTGATGGACAGGGAAGCCTGCTGTGCTGCAGTCCATTGGGTCACAAAGAGTTGGACATGACTCAGCGAGTGAACTGACTGACTGACTGATTCCAAACTCAGGCTTTCTGCTCCCCACAACAACCAGTTCCTCCACAGTTTTTCACTTCTACCCTATCAGACTCTAAAGCTGGGAGTCCTTCTTGATTACTTCAGAATAATTATTCTGAAATATCTTTGTTGTTGTTCATACTCTCCTTTTCCTTCCAAGTGATACTATATTTTCCCAGTATCTGATCACTTTACATGCACGTTGTGATGACCTTTGAAAGACCTCCCTACCTCTGGGGTCTCCTGGCTTCACCAGTATTTTGATTCCTTTCCTTCTAGGGACATGGTAGAGTTGTGTTTCCTACCTCGTTGAAGCCAGGCATTGCTATAGGGTTTGCTTGACAAAGGAAATGTGAGAGAAGTGTAAGAGCCGCACATTACCTCCCCTTGCCACCTGACTGGTGATGTTCAGATGGTAGAGGCGCCATCAGGCTGGGGTCCGGATGAGGATGATGAAGCAGTCACTTACTTGCCACCCTCTTCCTTCCAGATGAACTTTCAGCATGAGCAAGAAAGAAATATCTGTGGTTTTAAAGTATAGATTTTAGGACTATTACATATCATAGCATAAGCTAGCCCAGCGCTTCTCAGACTTTAATATTATTCACTAAAGAATCTATAGAAATGCCACATTATAATTCTGTAGGTCTGGGTGGGGCCTAAGATTCTGCATTTCTGACAAGCTCCCAGGTGATTCTGATGCTATTTGAGACCCTGGGCCACACTTCAAATAACAAGGACCTTATCCATCTTAATTCTCTGATATACCCTCTCATCACATCTTACATACTGTATCCTATATCTCACCAGCACCTAAACTGTCCTAGAAAACAAATTAGCAAACAAAGAGACAACTTTCTTGGTGATATTCTTTATAAACCCTCAATAACTTCCCACACCTGCAACTCCTCAGTCAAACACTGTAGAATCTTAATTTCTTATATTCTTAGGACAGTTGTTTTCCCTATGCTCTCTTCTACCTCCTGTCATTTTCTATGTTAATCTGTGAGACCACTATATTGTCTTATTTTCTTTAGTAATAGAAATTTCAAGTTTTAGCTTGGGCAGTGCCCATGGCTTCTCAGCAGCTTTCCCCCAGTTTCTCTTGTAGCTAGCTTTGTATGTGACTCATTTCTGGCAAGTGGGATGTGAGTGTAATTGATTTGAAATTGCAAATTTGAAGTTACAAATTTGAAATTACTGGGTTCTGCCTTTAAAAGGAAAGATTATGTCCCCTTTGAATATTTTCCTCATTTTCTCCCTTCCAAGACCCAGAAGATGTCAACTGTTTTTGGTCATGAGGACATGGCATAGCTTAGCAAGTGACAGAGCAAGAGGTAGAGAAAACCTGCTGCCTTACGGATTACATTAGTGCTCTGGTCTGCATGCTCTGTTACAGGAGGGAGCTTGTTCATGAGGTTGCTGTTAGCCTGAGTCTTCATTACAACAACTGATTTATATCCTAACCCAAC